CCCTGCAGGCCCACCGGGCCCAGCTCGCGGGCACTGCTGCTGGTGGGAGTTAGACGGGCGAGTTCCACGTTCTTACTGACTTTGGCAGCTCCTGTCTCTTTACCAGCGGCAGGCTCGGTCCTGGGGGCAGAGGGTGCAGGGCAGAGGGCATGGGTGACCAGAGGGAGGAGAGGGTGGCTGCCACCCCTGCCTGGCCCCACACCTTGAGCACTGCACCAGCTCAGACTCCACCTTCAGACCCACCACAGGGGCAGCGCCTCCCCCCCCACACACAAGGCTGTACCTTCAACCCCGCCCAAGACACAGTTTGGTCCCCTCAGAAACCCTAGGATAGGTTATGGGTAAGTCTGGGCAGCTCAAGTTCTCTTCAAATGGACAGCCGATGCCCACTCCACCCAGGCCACCAGCCTTTGTCCCCAGGCCCAGCCCAGTCTGCTCACTTTTTCAGCTTCTCGCCCACAGCAGGGGACGCCGCCGGCCTGGCCAGCTTCTCCCTTGGGGGCGATGGCGAGCGGCTGCGTGTCAGGCTGCGGCTGTGGGACGGACTGAGGGACCAGCTGCTGCGGCTGCGGCTGCGGCTGCTGCTGTGGTGCCGGGCACCCCGTCTGTACCGCTCGCCAGAGCGCGAGCGGCTCCTGGGAGCAGGATAGAGGGCCTTGAGGCCGGGGGGTGCCCATGTCCCTCCCCAAGGCCTGCATGGCGGCCCAGGGGCCCTCCTCAGGTCGCCCAGCAGCGCCCCTCAGCTGCCTGCGCCAGGCTCCCAGGGCAGGGAGCAGGGTGGCCTTGCCTAGGGTCCACGCTAGCCCCTCCTCCCGCTTAAGCTACTCTACCCCTCCCTGCTCTCCTGCCATCCCAGAAACCAAGCCTGGGGTGTGCTCAGCCTTCGTCAGGCCCTCCCTCTGGAGCGGGCGGACAAGATGCAGGCTGATGGCAGACGCTGAACACAGAGCCAGACACACTGCTCAGGGGCAAGCCAGCCGCCTGCTCCTAAGTCACAGCGCTGGCCCTCCACTTTCCCAGCCAACCCCTCCTGTCCCCCCACCCCACAGTAGCCAACACTGCAACCCACGCAGACAGGGACCTAGAAGCCAGTGTGGCCTTCAGAGCCAGTCAGTGCTCAGCTGCTGTGCCCCTAGAGCCTTCCCAGGGCCTCCGGCAACCCCCCACCCCACCCCGCCTTCCCAAAGAGGGCTGCACCTTGTCCCCACTCACCAGAAGCCAGGGTCTTCCAGCCCAGGCCTGGGCCCTCGGTACAAGCCATAGGTGCCCACACGGCTCCATGCCCTCGGCGGGGACCCCCTCACCCCCCAGTGCTCCAAAGCAAGGGCCTGGGCTTGGCCCACACCCACCTGCTTCTGCGCCTGGGCCCGTAGCCTGTGCGGCGGGCGGGCGAGCGGGAGTAGCGGTGTCCG